ATGTCGAGCTCTCAGAGCTACCTGTTGGAGTGATTGACGAGGAAACAGAGCCTCTTTCACAAGATTCATCATCTTCATATATTCGTGAAGGGAAGATGACTGCAATGGACCCTAAAACAGCGAGCCATGAGGAAACTGAAGTTGACCACTCGCCCGATAACTCCAAAGGCATTGGCCAAGAAACTTCTGAGCCACAAGATGAAAAAGAACAGTCTCCAGAGACAGAAGTCATTGTGAAAGAACAGCCTCTAGAGCCAGAAGTTATTTTGAACGAACAGCCTCGGGAACCTGAAATCACTGAACCTGAGATATCAAAAGAAACCAAAAAGCTGATGGAGGAGAACCAGCGATTCAAGGAAACGATGGAGACGTTGGTTAAGGCAGGCCGAGAACAACTAGAAGTCATATCGAAATTAACCAGTCGGGTCAAAAGTCTCGAGAAGAAACTGTCACATAAGAAGAAGACACAGATCAGACGTCGTGCAAGCAAACCAATGTCCGCAAGTCCGACCGATACCGTACTGTAACAACACCCATAAACATTGATATGTGTCTTCTTTTTTTGTCAATCTGATATGTGATATGTCTCAATTCCTCATATATTGTATCCATCGGTCCATCCTATCAAGTATAGAAAACGAGAATTCAAAAATTGTCTAACGAGAATCCAACTATTTGCCTCTCTGTCTTCTTCGACCCAGTTCATTGATAACCTCCCATTCGCTCTGACAAATTCGACTAAATTTTGTTAGGCCCAATATATTCAGGCCCATACAATGATCAACCCATTAGTTATTTCAAATGTTTTTTTTATTATTATTAAGTTATTTCAAATGTTTTTAATTGTTTGTTAAAGTTTATTTCAAATGTTCATAGCAAAAGAAAATTGGCATCTATAGTTCATTTATTTTTTTAAATTGCTCTACGTGAAGTTCATCATCCACCACACACATCATTACCAAAGGTGGACCACAAGAACTCATAGTAAATTTCATGTATTACATTGAAATTTTACCTTTCAAATTTGTTTTGGGAGAAAGAGAATGAGTGTGTGGTTCGTGCGGACATAGTCCATCCTTTTCATGCCATAACTCACTCTTCGTTTTCTTCTTTCTCATCGTCACGTTAGGTTGTCTATTAGCCGCCAAATATTCATCTCCTGTGGTCCCGTTTCACGTCCCAACGCCATTTACACTCATCTCCATAATCTCTCATGTGCTTTCTCATTACAACAACAAAAATTCTCAAAGATTAACATGTGCATGAGAAATAATAAGTAATGATATAATCTCATTCTCACCTAATCTATGGTTGAAAAAAAGGAAATGGTGTCAGTATTGGTCATAATAAGCCTTGGAGTTCTAGACTATAGCATTAAAGGACCGGGAATATCTTCAAGCATGGTACGAATGATTTATATTTTAATCGTGTATTAACTTTCCATTTAACCTCATAATGACTCTATTAGCCTACTCTCAATCCCCAAATTTACTAGCATAGTTAACTAATTCAAGTAGTTATCATTCACCCACTTGTACATCCATCAAAAGTTAATTCTTATCTGTCTTATCTTACAAATGCATTTCATCTAAACACAAATTATATACACTTAAGATACTTCATTTCTATTCATCAGTGTCACAGTGACTACTATCCTTGCGACCAATCGGACTTTTACTGCACCACTATAACGTAGCAGTAGTATACTACTGTAACTATTGTGATCCAATTATACAAGTTCATAAAATGTTTGTAGGAGAAAAAGGTTACGGAGAAAAGAAAATAGTAAAAGGTGAAAAAGGTTCACTCACACGCATCCTCTGTCTCTGACTCTGAAGTGTATCTGAGAGATATATTTCCCCTTGCAGTAAATAAAAATCTATGGCTTTGTTGGGAAGGGAGAAAAAGTCAAGAGTGAACTCGTAATCTTTGTCGGGAGAGAGTAACAGGCTTTTGATGTTGTAACATTATACTATTGTATGAATTACAATCATACTTAACAATAAATCCCGTCTTAGGATTTTCGTATAAATAATGATAAAGAAAGATCGACAATTTTAAGGATAAGCCATTTAGTGATCTGAGAATTTTTAAGGAAAAGAAGAAAGAAACAGAACTGTCTCCAGCTACAAGAGACAACAGAAAGATCCCAACAGCCTTAAATATCGACTGAAGAAGAAGACAACCAGAGAAACAGAGACACGAACAGAGACATGGAGAGAGAATGTGAAGAAGGAGAGATGGAGAAAAAGCTGAGACGAAGTTTCATGGGTTATAGTAGGAGAGCTGGTCCTTCTACTCCTCCACCCACGTGGCGGCTCGAGTTTTCGCCGCCGCGAGTCGGAGCTTCCTCCGCCGTCGTCGAGACGAAGGAGTTTTTGGCGAATTCAGAGGTTTCTGTCCGGAAATTGTGTGCTGATATGTGGGAAACTGAACAATTCCGGCAAAGAATTGAGCTGCGACGGTGTCGACGAAGGGATTCAGATGTTGAATCACCTTCCCGTAGTCCGCTTCACGATCATCAGGTAAACAAATTTGGCGTTTTTGATTTGCTTGAATGTTTTTGACGGGTTTATGTAGGGTTTTAGTCTTCTTGTTTTGGTAAGTCGTAAAGTTGTGATCTTTATGGTGACTTTAGAGTATTATTCCACCGGAAAATTCTCATTTTGCGCAAATTCCACCGAGAATATCTCAAAGTGTTGTTCTTTATGATGGGTCTTTAGGAAATCTGGACTATGCACAATTTCACTGGACAAATCTCATTCATGGTCGTAAAGTTGTGATCTTTCTTATGGGTCTACTAGAGCCCTTGATTTTAAGTGTGTTTAGAATTTGAAAGTTTTGTGGAAGAAAAGAATCATTTATATATTAGTGAGTTATAATTTGCAGCCACCAAGCAGAGGTAGCTTGAGGAGACAAATTGCAGCAACTGATAATCATAGAAATGGTGATCTATTGCAACCAATCTCTCCTGCAAGTTGCAGCAGTAGTTCATTGGAGGTGAGAAAAAGACTTTTCCTCTTTGTTCACTCTAAATGTAACTAAGGAGCATTTTAACAATCTTGTTTTTTGAGCTGGATTTGGTGTGTGTTGGCTTAATGCACTTGTAGGTTGTGGTGCGTAAGCCAGCGTTTAGTCAGACAGGTTCTTCGGTGGTTAAGTCTGCGAGCTATGGTTTGGGTTCCTTTACAAAGCTTCTCAAGGTGCTAAACCGGATATGGAGTCTCGAAGAACAGAATACTGCTAATATGTCTTTGGTTAGAGCTCTAAAGATGGAGATGGATGAATGTAGAGCCGAGATTAAGGAGGTACAGCAACGGGAGAAGCAAAGCGATAGGCGACTGAGGAAGAATAAAGAAGAAGAAGAGGTAAAAGATGTGTTTCGATCGATAAAGAGGGAGTTAGATGATGAGAGAAAAGTTAGAAAGCAGTCAGAGACTTTGCACCGGAAGCTAACACGAGAGCTTTGTGAAGCGAAGCATTGTTTGTCAAAAGCTTTGAAAGATCTTGAAAAGGAGAGACAAGAACGTGTTGTTGTGGAAAATCTCTGCGATGAGTTTGCAAAAGCGGTTAAAGATTATGAAGATAAGGCGAGAAGAATTGGGAATAAGTCACCAGTGAGTGATAAAGTAATTGTGCAGATTGCAGAAGTGTGGAATGACCAGAGATTACAAATGAAGCTAGAGGAAGATGATAAAACATTTTTGCGAGCTAAGGAGAAGAGTGGATCACAGTCAAGTAAAGGAAGTGGCTTGAGAGCAAAACCAGATGATTCGGTATCTATGCATCAAAGGGTTTGCTTGAAGGAACTTGAAGAAGGGCTTGAAAAGCGAACAAGAAGAGATAACAAATTGCAGCTTAAGAAGAAGAGCTCCGGCCAAGTTCTTAATCTATCTATGTCTTCGGAAGGAGATAAGATTCATCCAGAGAGTAGTCCAAGGAACGTTGATGATCATGAGAGTCAAGAAAAGTCTAGAACTTTCTCGAAGATTCTTCCGAGATATGCGAATGTGAATGTGATGATTAGAGAGGATAATCATCGTACTCTCAAGGATAAGCTGATGGAAGCTCGTGTCGAGAGTCGACGTTTACGTTCTTCTTTGAAACCAGAGTGATCCGGTTCAATCGTGAATCAATTTGATAACTCGTGTCTCATGTTGGAGTAATTATTTGGTTGTGGTTAATATTAATGCTTGTTTAAAAAAACTAAGCTAAACACTTAAATATTTTAATGTCCCCGTGACAAAAAAAAAAACTAATTTTGTGAACAGTACACATACATGATGTACATTGACATTGAACACAACTCCGGTCAACTATTTTTGGCATTTGTAATTAAGAAGAAATAAAATCTAACGTAAAGGAGAGACAATTAAACCGATCAGTTCAAATCTTTAGTCATCTAAAATTTCACAAGTCACAACACGCTTTAAGTATACTGATTGGTGATTAATAAAGGTTAAACAAAAAAAAAGACAAGTCAAAGATGTGTCGGTAATAGCGATTGACCAAACTCTACCTGCCTGATTCTCTTCAAAATACAAAATCTAACCAATTATCCCTATAGTCTTAAACTCTTAATGCAATAAAATTGCAAATACTCACATAATTAGGAGAATCTAAGACCAATTAGGAGTAATTGGATTCTCTTTTAGTTGTTGACCCTAACCGTATCTCTCTCCAAAAGAGAATCTAGTCAACAAGATTATGTTAAATCTCTAATTAATGACAGTAAGATTTAGTGCCATTTTCTTCTTCTATATTTTCCCATTTTTATTAACACTTGTTCCATAATCGTCTCCCTAGGAGTAGACTAGGGTTTCTTATGCTCTTTCATCTATAAAACCACTTAACACAACAATGTTCTTTCTTCACATCATCACAATTCATAAGCCTCATCAATCCATCACCATACATATCTATGTAATTCTCTTGATAGTTTCTTGGTTCGTTTTAAAGTAAAAAGATGTTAAAACTCTTTTTGGACACTTGTTTTTCAAGTGTAACAGAAGGAGCTCCCTTCCTCCAAAACGAGGAGGACATGATTTGAGGAACTAAAAAGCAAAATCTAAGAGTTCATGGATTCCTCATAGAGAGTGCGTAGGTTAACGTACATCTTGAAGAAAGCACACTTTAAGGGGACTGCATGACCTCTTAGATTCTCTCTCTCTCTCTCTCTTTCTCTATACATCCTTCTCTTCTCTTCGTTTGGATTGAAGGGAGCTCCTTTTCTTCTTTCTTCTTGTCTTAGAGTCTTGTATATGCCCACCGACTGAATTAATATATGATATATATATATATATATATATATATAGTTTTCTAATTACATAATTAATTTTGCCCGCAAGGTGGTGGGCTAGTGGTAGGGCGAGTCTGGAGTTGAGGGTGAAATCCCCGAACCCAGGTTCGATCTTCCTCCCTCGCTGTTATCAACACTTTGTGGGAAGTCTGGGCTTGGGCTTCGGCCCAGGCAGTTTACCTGGTAGTCTGGTAACAGGCGATCCAGCTACCCCCGGGCATTAGTCGGAAAGCATTCCAAACTTGGGTTAGGCAGTGTGGTAGCCCATCCTTCGGGGTGGTAGTGAGTCCACATGGTAGCACTTCGGTGCGTTCCCCCAGGGCTGACCGGATCAGCCGATCGAGTATATCAAAAAAAAATAATTACATAATTCACCAAGATTATATATTTTTGAAGGTTGAGTTCTTGGTTTGCTTATCAAGATGGACCATATATATATATATATATATATATATATATATAACAATTCTTCTACTAAATGTGATTTAAAGATGGATTCGTCAGTGCTTTCAAAAATGTTTCTCTAACTTGTTTGTTTTTCTGTGCATTCTTTTTTTTTCAGTTTGACATGTTTATTTAATTTGCAGGTGTTTGTGGTTGATGCTTGCATCGAAGCGATGTTAATGTTGTTTAATGCGAGATGATGTTCGTGGGCCAATTTGAAAATATGATATGAATGGCGGTTTAGTATAGGGATATGATATGAATGGTGATATATATAAATTAAAACTGACTATATATATAAATAAATGTATCTTGTTTATTGTTTTGTTTTTTTTTTACATTAGTAACTCTACGTAGTTCCACTAAGTCCTGTAATTGCTGTTAATTTTTATGCTTTTACAATGTTTGGTGAATAATGGTTAAGTTTCGTCTAAATTTTTAAGATACGTTTGATTTGGTAGATTAGTCACAACTCACAAGTGTTGCCTGTTTATGTTTAAACGGACCTCTCCCTTTTTTTTTTTTCAGTCAACCGACATTTAATTCTTTATTTTGTTATTCTTTAATCGAGCAATATGATCTCATCTTAGTACGAAGGGGACATTTCACCTTAAAAATAAAAAATTCATCAAAATTGGTCTTGGTTATTTTCTTAGTTATTACAAGAACAATAATCAAGTTAGGTTCAAGTTCGATCAGATCTGAAATAAGTACACTATTGTTTGGTTTGAGAAAATATATCATGGATGGTTTCAAATTCAACAAATAATAGCTGGTTTGCTTGTAGTCGATAGGTTAAGTCGTATCACTTCAAATGAATCATCTCTAGTGACACAATATATAGTCAACTGGTTTGTCATGTGTTGGCCTAAGAAGAAGTGTATACCGGCCGGATTTCAATTTATAAATTAGTCCAATTTTTTGTCAAGTTATCATTGCATTACCAAGTTTCACTCGGTCAAAATCTAATTAACAAAGTCTGTAAAACGTTGAACTAGTTTTATTTTATTATATTAAAAGAAAACTCCAAATCAGACTTTTGATTCCAAGTTTCCAACGAATATTTTAACGACATAAGGCATTGCCGTTTGTTGAACGAGTTGTCTTCTTACCAAATTTGACGCTTTCCAACCAATTACAATCCTAATTTTGCCTCTTACCAGAGCAACATAAAAAAAATAAAAATATTTATAATTAAGTAAATTTTAAATCTCCCCCAAATTACTAAACTAATTTCTGAAAATTATTTTAAATTAAAAATCGAATCTGATAAGTCAAAATTAAAAATTGTACCAACTCGATTTATGCATAATACCGGGAAAGAACCAAAATTCAAAAGACCGAACCGGTTAATTAAATTAGTTAGGCACTAACGAACCTCTTTGTCTTTAATTAGCCTTTCATTAATTTATCCGTCACCGCCCTGTTATCATAACCGTTCAACGTCTTGTCCTTTTGTTCTGTAGTTCAAAAAAAAAAAAAAAAAAGAGAGACTTTTTTAGGGTTTCTTTGTTATTTTCGTTCCTCAAAAAACCTTTTCGAATTTTTTTGACCCTTTTTGTTTTCCTGATTCTTCTGCTCGGTTCTCGCCGGAGAGAAGACGGAGAAGAGGGTTTTCGAAAAGGAGAATGAGAGGTTCCAATAACACCGATCTATTTGACCCTAAGACGGAGATGGATTCCAATTTCTCTCGCCATGGTTCTTCCTCCGAAGGTGATTTTGGTTTCGCTTTCAATGACAGTAACTTCTCCGATCGTTTGCTCCGGATCGAGATCTTGGGTGGGCCTGCGGATTCTAGGTCTGATGGTGAAGGATGCACGAGTATTGCCGATTGGGCTCGTCATCGCAAGAGGAGAAGAGAGGATAACAAGAAGGACAATGGTGGTACGTTTGATTCCTCTTTCGGAATAATGATTTGATCGGCTGGAATCTCAGATTTTTTAAGAATTGTTCTGATGCTTTGGTTTAGGGCTTTTGGGTTGAGTTTTCAAAATGTTTAAGAAACTTATACATTTTGCATTTCCAGTTGCGATTTCAGACATTGTGGCATGTGCTGAAGAACAGATTTTAACCGATAACAACCAACCTGATATGGATGATGGTCCTGGTGGTGATAATCTTGACGATGAAGGAGAGGCCATGGTGGAAGAGGCTTTATCAGGTACTTTGATCAATTATTGCATTCTAAATTTCACATTGTCTAATTTGTGATACTTTTTAATTTTCAGAAGAGCTTTTTGTTGTTGAAGTAAGTTGTCTAAAACGTTATAGCTTTGTTTATAATTGTTTTTTTAGGTGATGATGATGCATCGAGTGAGCCAAATTGGGGTATTGATTGTTCTACTGTTGTTAGAGTTAAAGAATTGCATATTAGTTCTCCTATCTTGGCTGCCAAAAGCCCCTTTTTCTACAAGGTATTAACGTTTTTTTCTTCTTCTATATTCTTGTTGTTTGCTCTTGTTTATGTTGTATGTAATGCTATGTTTTGCTTCTTGTTTTCCTTACCCTGTTGTAGCTGTTTTCTAATGGAATGAGGGAATCAGAACAAAGACATGTAACCCTTAGAATTAGTGCACAAGGTACGGCAGTTCAGTCAAGCTTTTGCTTCATTTCTGCTATTGTCAATCTCGTCTTATTGGCATCAATTCTCTACTAGCTCTCTGTTGGCGTCTATTGTTTTTGATTCTTTATTCCTTTTGTATTAACTCAGTTCCTGGCTTTGATTTACATATATGATAACTTATATCCGTGAAACGATATTAGCTTTAAGAGAGACCACAATGTTGATTTCTCATTCTCTGCTTTTATGTGTATGGCAGAGGAAGGTGCTTTGATGGAGCTTTTAAACTTTATGTATAGCAACTCTCTAAGTGTCACAACAGCACCTGCTTTATTAGATGTTCTTATGGCTGCTGACAAGTTTGAGGTTGCTTCCTGCATGAGGTATTGTAGTAGACTACTGCGCAATATGCCCATGACTCCTGATTCCGCTTTGCTCTATCTCGAGCTTCCCTCTAGTGTATTAATGGCTGAAGCAGTCCAACCTCTAACCGATGCAGCAAAGCAGTTCCTTGCCTCCCGCTACAAGGATATTACCAAGTAAGACTCTCCACTGGTTTGAAATGCATTTACTCGAGTGTTGTATAATTCTTGTATTCATGTGTTACCATCTTGTGCAGATTTCATGATGAGGTTATGGCCTTACCATTGGCTGGGATTGAGGCGATACTGTCGAGCGATGATCTCCAAATTGCTTCTGAGGATGCTGTTTATGATTTTGTCTTGAAATGGGCAAGGGGACAGTACAGTTCATTGGAAGACCGTAGAGAGATTCTGGGTTCACGCCTTGCGCTCTACATCCGCTTCCCGTACATGACGTGTCGAAAGCTGAAAAAGGTACTAACGTGTAGCGATTTTGAGCATGAAGTAGCATCAAAGCAAGTATTAGAAGCGCTCTTCTTCAAAGCAGAAGCCCCACACAGGCAACGCATCCTCGCAGCTGAAGGATCAGACTCCTTGAATCGCCGTTTCATAGAGAGGGCTTACAAATACAGACCCGTAAAAGTGGTAGAGTTTGAGCTTCCTCGGCCGCAATGTGTAGTGTACCTGGACTTGAAGCGAGAGGAATGCGCAGGATTGTTCCCTTCGGGAAGAGTCTATTCTCAGGCCTTCCACTTAGGAGGTCAAGGGTTCTTTCTCTCGGCACACTGCAACATGGACCAGCAAAGCTCGTTCCACTGCTTTGGGCTATTCCTCGGAATGCAAGAGAAAGGAGCTGTGAGTTTTGGTGTGGACTACGAATTCGCGGCAAGAGATAAAAAATCAACCGAAGAATACGTAAGCAAATACAAAGGAAATTACACATTCACAGGGGGGAAAGCGGTTGGTTACAGAAACCTTTTCGGGATTCCGTGGACTTCGTTCATCGCCGATGACAGTCAGCATTTCATCAATGGCATTCTCCATCTCAGAGCCGAGCTCACCATTAAACGTTCCTCAGACCTGCACTGACTGTTATCTGTCTCTCTTTCTCTACATCGCCATGTTTAAGTTGTATTATCTCGTTATGTAGCCAGCTCTAACCACGAGTGTCTTTTGTAATTGCCTAAGGAGGAGCAGTAAAAGTTAAGGTTTAAAGAGTTCCTCGCTCTGTAAATTCGATTGGATTTTTACTTTTCTATTTACACATATTGACTACGTGTTTTTTTTTAAATAAATAGTTCAAAGAAATTGGGCCTAGCTTTTTGAGATTAGCCTTATAATATGGGCTCTAGGCCTACTACGTTGCATGCGTAAAGCCGAATTGCCTATAGTGTGAACATGAGGCTTTCTATATTCAAACTTCAAAGTTCAAACAATGCGGCTATAGGAAATGGTACGTCGAGGAATTAGAGTGAAGTCATAAGGGTAATATCGGAAAATCAGGCTAGAGGAATCGAGTCCTCGTCACAAGCGGGCCCACATGAATGCGTAAGTAAGACTATCCGCTTACCAGAC